CGTGCAGCATGTACAAAACTTTAAATTCTTCTCTGATACATAAATGAGACACAGTTCTGTCTAAATAGGAGAGATCTGGAACGTGGAAGTTTATCATGAGCGTTCCATATGGTTTTTTTTCCATTATACACGTGACCTTAACTTTGACACACATAAATAAAAATGATAGGAGGAAAAAATCTCAAAACCTTTTGATATCTCAGTCTGCCATCGGTCTCATCTTCAATTTTCATAGTCTCAGTTGCATTTATAACTGTTAGCGAGGATTTTAAGATTGTCATCACCCAATCAATGAAAACAAGGGCTTTTGCTCCTGGGTCGTTGGCCGGCGCTCGCTCTTGCCTGAGATTCTTCTGTCAATAAAGCCCACTCTCCATAAAGGACGACGATGCCCACATTGGGAATGTGCAATTCACACAAAAAGCACTTCCAAAAATTGAAGGAAACTCATTTTCAATAACATTGTTATCATTACTCTTTGCTCTCATCTGCTTCTTACCCCATGACAGTTACTGGAGACCGAAGCCCTGAGATCATGTATTTACAGAACATAATTTAGGTTCTATTTTCCCAAGTAGGATATGGGTTCCAGCAAGGAGCTTATCTGCTTTACATTTGATTATAGGTCCGTAACATTGAGGAAGATCATTCTCCTTAACAATACTCAGATAAGAAGCATAACCAGAAGGAAAGGAACGTGTTTCACTGACTCCATCAGGAGGCTCAATGCTGAGCTGCATTTGGTAAGATGACCTTCTCATTTGTGATCATGGTAGCGAATGTGAGTATTGAAAGCCAAGCTGCGTGAATAAATTGTCGCCTTAAAATTTCACACCATCACACAATAGAAAGAAATAGAAAATGTTCATGTGTTTTTGTGATAGAAATAAAAATCACGCTGGACAATGGGGATAAGAATGATCTCTCTCGGAGGTTTCTCTGCCCGACCTGTTTGAAACCACTGATACATACTGTGTTTTCATCTCTGTGTTGCTTTCGAATGTAACATCAATGTCACTTTTCTCCTCAGAAAATGTCCACACATCCTAAGAATAAAGTCATATTCTACAAGTGCTGTCATCTGTTGTACTGTTAATTTTTACATTTTGCATTAAGTAGAATATGATTGAATAGGACACAAATAGTTTTTCGTT